ACAAATTAAACTAATCAACTAGCTACACGAGCTAACTAATATTACTAACCAAATTAATTAACTATTCTAGCTAACTAATTATAATTACAACACAATACAAAATTACCTATTCTAACAAATTACAAAAGCCACTAGTTAAGCATAACTTATAACACGGATCCCAGGATCGATGAGGAACTCATGCATGAATGCGGTTTCCACTCGAAAAGCACTGTTTTGCTGGTGCATGCCTCTATTACTCAGTAGGACACTTGCATTGATTTCCTTTTCCAGACCAATGTTGTTTTGTCTCAGAAGTACACTGCTGAATTTGCTTTGGTGGCCGACAAGGAGCCGGTCGGCCACTAATGATGGTCGGTCGGCCACTGCTGATTGGACTTCCTTGTTGCAACAGAGAGCAAACAGAGTAGGACAAGGCATTTTCCAGGGTTTATTTGCACAATTCACCCCCATTTTTCATGAACAAATCAAAGGGAGACAAACCTAGATTCACAAACCATCAACTTAGGCAATTTCATTGCATGATGGCTCATGAACCAAAGTGTGCAATTTCAATAAATGCAACAAAACAAGACACAAACCACCTCCCTTTCATGGAAGATCAATAGAAGTGATGACCTTGGAATCTTGAGTCATTTCATCACTAGTGAGTATGAAATGCCTTAAGCTTCCATGTATTCAATTAATGTTCGATTGAACACGACACTTAGTTTTATCTTGCACCATTTTAATTTACCAACCATCCTCTAATTCATTAAGTCCACTGGTGAGAAGTCCTCTAAAAGAGAAGGAAGTGTCAAACAAAGGGTAGTTTAAGGCAAGAAAGAGGCGTCATGCCATTGATAATGAACCCCCAAAAAATGATTAAACCATTAAGCATGGACTTCAATCTTAAGCTTAAACAATTCTAAGATTGAAACAACCCTCAAAACAAACAAAGAGTCAAGAAATGAGAGAGGTTACATAGATTATGCTTGTTGAAATTAAGTGAGAAAAGTACTAAAACATGCAATCAACTCAAACAAGCGGTGTCTAAAGGCCTAAAACACCAAACTTGTGAGGACACTTACACTAAAAGTATGCAAAACAAGACTCAAATGACTTAACCAACCCAAAACAGAGATAAAACAGTCCAAATCAGAGGTTAAAACATGTTGGGATTAAGTTATAAATGGCTAGAAAATTAAGCTAACACATAGAGCTAACTAGGCTAGCAAACAAAGCACAAGGAAGGGAGGCTAACCCTTCCATTTTTGGGATTTTAAAACCACTTTTTTAGCGTATGAAAACTTCTAAAAATCAGTGGTAAAAAGCTCAAAAAAAGTTGATGAAGAAAAGGGAAACACAAGTGTAAAGGCTTAGAGAACAAGGTTTAAAGAAGGGTGATTAACCTCTTTACCTTTAATAGCCTTAAACCACAACCTTCAGCCCATAAAAATAGGTTTTAAAGAGCTTAAAAACAATAAGAAGATGGTGCAAAAGCAAGAGAATGTATACCTCTTGGAGAGGAATGAACCCTTAAGTCATAAACCATCAATTTCACACTCTCAAGTGCTTCAAGAGCTCAAATTCAAGCTCAAATCATCTCAGCAAGAAGCTTTCTAGGTTTGGCTTAGAGTGTTTGGGTAAAGTCTATGCAAGTTACAAGAAAGAGAGAGAGAATTGTAGAGAGAGGATTTTTCCAAAATTATTTCTTCACTCCTCATGTTTTCTTGAAAGCAAGAAGAGAGGTTCTTTATAAATAGAAAAATAATCCCTTAGATGAAAATATCTGAATTAGGACAGCTGGAGCATTTGGAGGACAGCTGGCCAAAATATCTAGGCTTTACACCAGTGGTCGACTGGCCACAAATGGTGGCCAGTCGTCCACAAATGGTGGCTGTCGGCCACAACAAAAACTGCTTTCAGGCCCAACTTCAAATGGGCATATCTCCTTCATCCGGACTCGATTTTAGGTCATTTTTTAGTCTAAATTGAAGCCTCGGAAGTATACTTTCCAATGGTGTAGCCTCACATCTAAACTCTAAGTGTGCAAAGAGATATATCTATTTTAGTGAAGGTTGCCAATTTCTAGCTTAATCAGATTGATGCCTAACTTCAAACAAATATATCTCCATCATCTGGACTCGGCTTTAGGAGATTCTTGAGTGTAAAATGAAGCCCCAGAAGTCCACTTTCGAATGGTGGTGGCCTCATAACTAAAGTCTAGGTGCACAAAGAGATATGTCTGATTTAGTGAGACTGCCCAGTTCTCTCTCAACTGTTTCATGCCCAACTTCTTTCGCAATTAGTTTTCTTCCCTCTCCTCTAATTTTCTTCAACTCCAAACCTCTAAATGCGATGTTTAAAAGATTTTTTCAAAGAGTTCACCTCTCTTCCATTTATTTTCACTTTGTCCTTACTCGATTTATCAAAAAGTGTAATTTTTAACGAAATGCAAGCCTCGGAACACTGTAAAACCTTTTCAAAAATATTTTGAAAGAGAAGGTTTTAAGGTCTAAAATAGTTTTGGTCAAAAATGAGGTGTAAGATTGGGATTTAGAAGCTCTTCTTGCTGAAGAAATCAAGCGATTGGACAGTGTAACTTTTCATCATCGAGTGATCAACCTGAGGCGTCCAAGTCTTAAGGGCGGTCAAAAATGGGATGTCTACATATGCACCAATTAGTATACAAACTAGTGTACCAACATTAGTTATGACATTATTATTGATACCAGTTATTAATCACATTACAAATTTCAAAAATCTTTTAAAGTATACTACATCATTAATTGGTATACTAGTTAGTACACTAATCTATATCTATATATATGAAGGAAAAAGGGGTTTCTAACCCCCAAGCCTTGTGGGAGCTCAAATATTCCAATCTAAATTTCTTGATTTTTTTTTATTTAAAAAAAAAACCTTTGCCTTTATTAGCTTCTCCCAACTCCCAAGCCTAACCCTCATAATAACACTTTAATGCATTAAGAACAAGTATAAAAAAAATTTCTTGAAAAGTCTAACACATAAATTTCTTGAAAAGTCTCAACATATATGATAATTATCTCTCATAATAACACTTTATTACATTAAGAACAAGTATAAAAAAAAATTTCTTGAAAAGTCCAACACATATCATTATTATCAAAATATTAAACTTTAATATATTATATAAAAAAAAGAAGATATTTAATTCTTTAAAACGTCCAACATATCATTATTATCAAAATATTAAACTTTAATATAATATAAAAAAGAAAAAAGAAGACATTTAAAAAAAAAAGACATTTAAAAATCACAATTCACATATATAGATAATTATAAACACAACCCGTGCATAACAAGAGTGATATGCTAATTAGTATATATAGCATTATTCATACTATAATAGTGTGTGGTTTATAAAATAAAATTGAAAGGTCATTTCTTAACACCCCTATATAGGCCCTGTTTGGTAGAGCTGTAAGAAAGTGCTTATAGCTTATGCTTAAACAGCTTATAGCTTATAACTATGAACATAAGTTAATTTCTGATTTATAAATTAAGCATCTCCAGCCCCACTCAAAGAATAAGCTGATTTCTGACTTTCAAAAAGTTATAAGTCATAAGTTATAAGCTAAACCAAACACATCAAAATAGCTTAAATTAAGCTGAAAGCTGAAATAACCTGCTTTTAAGTTCTGCCAAACAGGTCCATAATTTACAATGATATATAATAATTTCATGTGTAATAATTTTTTAAATAAATCAAACATAAAAATAAAAGTTGTGATTGTGTAATTACTTCATATCATCTCATTTCAATCAACTTCTATCAAACATGAGTGCACAAGTCATAATGTATCTGAATCTTCAACGTGTCTTATCTAAGTGAGCACATCATATGCTATTGAAACTTCAATAAATCTAGGGAAATGCTAGAGAGCTCTAAATCTATAGTTCTAATTTGAGTTTTAGTGATGTGTCAAAATAAATAAAAAAAAAAACAAAACAAAACAAGGCACAAACATCACATCAGAGTGGGTCCTACCTTCCCATTAGAGCTATTGGAGTTTTTATATTAGAGCTTTAAAGCATTTTTGATAAATCTATCTATCACAATTTTTACACAGCAATTTACTTACAAAAATAGCGCGCGCATGGATATCTATATATAAGCATGATTCAAATTTATTTTTTATATTGTAGGTCTCACACTTACAATAAATTTAAATTACAATTTTTTTAAGATATAGATTTAAAATTTATGTAATGTAGACTATGCCTAAAATGAATAGTTGCATTTGGATGAGTTAAAAAAGAAAATAAAAATCACTCTCAATCTTGTTTGGTTGAGTCTTCAAAATCATTTTTTAAAATAAATTACTTCCCTAAAAAATGGGGGGAAAAAAAATATAAACAGTCATTTTCATTTTTTTGAACAAAAAATGATTTTTTTAATATTTGAAAACATTTTTTTAATATTTACTGTTAAACTAAACTCTAGAACCCAATATATATATACTCAATGATGGATCTAGGGGACGGCCGCACCCTCAAAAAATTTGAAAAATATCATATATTGTATTAAAATTATAAGAATTCGTACTCCTAAATTTTTTTTTAAATAATTTCAAAATTATATAGAGTAACTTCTAATTTTTTAAACTATAGACTAACCTTTCAAAATCATAATCATAAATCCGCCCCTAGTATATATTCTCGGTGATTTTCTTTAAACTTCTAGTTTTTGACTATTTTCATGGTTACATATATCTATTCCAAGTTCCAACGAGCAAGCTACATCAGCTTACTACCATGTCAATCGGTGGAAATTTACGGTGCAAAAAGGCCTGTTGTATGTAGTCAATAATTTTCCCGGATTTGGGGCGACATAAATATACTGTAGATTGTTGAAAATTTTAGAAATTGTTGAATGATGCTAATAAAAGTCCGAGTAAGGAAGTTGAAGCAAAGTTTAACACATCCACCAGAGCTTGCTATTTAAATTGACCGATCCAAGATCCAAATCACCAATTTCACTTATCACCTTTTCGAGCTCTCACATCTCTTCTACACCGGTGTACAACTTCCTACAAACGCAAAATGAGCTGGTGGTGGGCCGGAGCTATCGGCGCTGCACGGGTATGCCTATTTTATCATTCATCACTTTCCAACTAACAAATTTGTTAATTTATAATCCATAACTATTAAGCCCAGCTCTGGGGATGAGCTCGCCGCCTAAAACCGCCAAATCTGTTTGGAAATTTAGAACCTCCAAAAACATGATTCTTTTATTAAGTTTGATTTTTTTTGGTTTGCTTAAGTAATACCCATAACACTAATAAATATATCAACTAATACACAAGATTTGTATGTAGGCTTAACTACTTGATGGAAGCCCAACTAACACTATATCTAATTGGTATGCTTATGGGTATGTTGTTTAGTTTCCTAAGGTTACTACAAATAATTATAAAAAATAAAAAATAAAATCAATCCAAAGCAAACGGTCCATCAAAATAAATATTTGATGGTTTCATATTAATAAAACTTTTTTTTGCATGGTCACACTTCTTTTTTTTTCAAATGAATTAAACCTATTTAGAACTTGAACAAACTATGTGCAATGAATTCCTTGAATTTTTCCTTTCTGCGGTGTTTTGAAAAGTTGGTAAAAAGTTAATTTTTTTAACTTTTTTGAGTTTATTTTGTGAGTAAAAAATGTGAGAGGTAATGTGACACAAAATAAGTAAAAAGTTAAAAATTGACCTTTTATTGCTTCCCAAAAAACCCCTATATGTTAGAATTCCTTTAATTTTATAGTTCAGTAACAACAAAATATTTCCTAAATTTTTTTGAATCTCTAATGGCCCTCCCCATTTTATAATATAATTTTGTCTTGGCTCCCAAAACATCAGGACTGGCCTTGGTAACTAACATATTCTCCTCTTGATTTTTCAGAAAAAAATTGAAGAACATGAACGTCCCAAAACATTTCAGAGTGTCGGACTAGTCCTCGGTGTCACCGGCATTGTCGGTAACAGCTTGGCCGAAATCCTCCCCCTCTCCGACACTCCAGGCGGCCCATGGAAGGTGTATGGAGTCGCTCGCCGCACCCGCCCCACCTGGAACGCCGATCACCCGGTCGAGTACATCCAATGCGACATCTCCAACGCCGACGACACGGTTACCAAGCTCTCTCCACTCACCGACGTCACCCACATATTCTACGTGACCTGGACCAACAAATCCACCGAGCTCGAGAACTGCAAGGCCAACGGAGCCATGCTTCGCAACGTTCTCAAGGCGGTGATCCCAAACGCCCCCAATCTCCGCCACATCTGCCTCCAAACCGGCCTCAAACACTACGTTGGACCCTTCGAGGTCATCGGCAAGGGGGTCCCGGTCCTGGCCCACGACCCGCCCTTCACTGAGGACATGCCGAGATTGAATTTCCCCAATTTCTACTACACCCTCGAAGACATCCTCTTCGAAGAGGTGGCGAAGAAAGAAGGGTTGACATGGTCAATTCACCGACCTGGTACGATCTTCGGGTTCTCTCCGTATAGCATGATGAACATCATTGGAACACTCTGTGTATACGCCGCGATCTGCAAGTATGAGAACAAACCCCTCAAGTTCCCCGGAACTAAGGCCGCTTGGAACTCTTATCAAATTGGGTCCGATGCAGACTTGATCGCTGAGCAAGAGATATGGGCCGCGGTGGATCCTAACGCGAAGAACGAAGCGTTTAATTGCAGCAATGGGGATGTGTTCAAGTGGAAGCACTTGTGGAAGGCTTTGGCTGAACAGTTTGATGTGGAGTTCGTTGAATTTGATGATGAGAGTGAGGAAGGAGTGAGCTTGGTGGAAATGATGAAGGACAAGGGTCCTGTTTGGGAGCAGATTGTGAGAGAACATGGATTGGAGCCAACCAGGTTGGAGGAGGTTGGAGTGTGGTGGTTTGCGGACTCTATGCTTGGAGTGGAGGGTTTGCCGGATAGCATGAATAAGAGCAAAGAGCATGGGTTCTTGGGGTTTAGAAACTCCAAGAAGTCATTCATTTCTTGGATAGACAAAGTGAAGGCTTACAAAATTGTTCCTTAAACATGAGTTCTCACTATCAGTTATGTTAGTTGAGAACATAATGTAAATAATAAAATTAAGTAGGTTGGTTGAGAATATAAAATAAATAATAAAATTATTCATTCCTTTAATAGTTTAAACTTTTAAATAATAGTTAACAATTTAATAATTACAATGTTGTTTGCTATAGGGTTGCATTTGATTTGTTTAGTGGGTATCATCCTAGTTGGTATGTTCTAATTAAGCCATGATGCAGTTATCATACATAGCTCTGTTTTATTTATGTGTATATCAAAGTGTGTTGGTTGTAATTTTTGCATCAATAAAATATTTTGTCGATAAAAAAAAAAAAAAAAAAAAAAACTATGATGTTACAAACACACCGGTATTGCATAAAATTTGATGGAGCAATAAAAAATGTGCAAGAGATGATAAGATTTTTCACAAGTAGTCCAATCAATAAATTTTATAAAATGTTAATTCACATATACTTTATATTTATTTTTGTGCTTAATTTCTACGTTCATAACAAAATTGATAGGCTAGAGAGAGAGGGATCAACAATAATTTCTTTAGAACACTACTAAAAAAGTGGACTTTTGTGTCCAAAATTTTGTATTTTTATTTTTTAGCAGGTTTACCAACTCTTATAGTAACTTTTTGCAACGGCAAGAAATACAATTGCCAAATAATAAGTATTCTCGATTGCTTAGCTACGATGGATAATAAAAGGTCACAATTGATGATTATTAGCAATAGTAGATCAAGAGAATTGACGTACATTTACTTAGTATTACATAGTCGATCCATAGACCTAATACAATCTTCGGGTTCTCTCCGTCTAGCATGGTGAACATCATTGGAACCCTCTGTGTATATGCCGTGATCTGCAAGTATGAGAACAAGCCTCTAAAGTTCCCCGGGACTAAGGCCGCTCGGATCTCTAATCAAATTGGGTCGGATGTGGACTTGATCGCAGAGCAGGAGATATGGGCAGCTGTGGATCTAAACGCAAAGAACGTAGCGTTTAATTGCAGCAATGGGGATTTGTTCAAGCGGACGCACTTGTGGACGGCTTTGGCTGAACAGTTTGATGTAGAGTTTGTTGATTTTGATGATGAGAGTGAAGTGGAAGGAATGAGCTTGGTGGAGATGATGAAGAACAAGGGTCCTATTTGGGAGCAAATTGTGAGAGAACATGGATTGGAGCCAAACAAGTTGGGGGAGGTTGTATTGAAGTGTTAGTAAATAAAGAGATCTCTCAGTCTTTTAAAATAAATCTTGGTTATGGTAACCCATATGAGATTCAAGTTGATGTTCCATAGAAGCCTCAAACGTGTGATGTTTGTGAGACTTTTGATCATATCATTAATTTGTGCTCTCACAAGCCAAAGATCTTGAACCCTGCATCTTCCAAACAAGAGTGGAGAGTCAAAGAGACTAACATACAAGGTATAACTAAATGGGAAGTGGTGAAGAAAAAGGGAAGAGATGGTGAACAAGGTTCGACAACAGTAATAAACAAAGAGGGAGAGACGTAGCGTTTTGCCCCATCAACATCTAATGCTTTTGATGTCATTGAATCATGTGATATGGGAGAGTTGGGGAATGGAGAATCAAATTAAGAGTTGTGCCAATCGAAGAGCCTAAAAAGTTGAGGGAGTCAATCTCCAAGCGATCTCAGTAATATGAAGACTGCAAAAGAAGGTAACAAAATAAAACTCAAAGTGAAACTTCATTACTTGAAGAATGCTATGGGGAAATTTTGAATCTTTTATTGTGTATGTTGTATTTGTCTTCTATAAGCTTAGTTTGTTTCTTTTGAGGGAGTAATTTGTTTTTGTTTTTGTTTGTTTTCCCTATAAAAGATATGTATTGAACCTCATTATATATCTTTCGTTTTTTTTATTATAATATAACTTACTTATCCAAAAAAAGGTTGGAAGAGGTTGCAGCGTTTTGGTTTGCAGACTTTATGTTTGATTTGGAGGGTTTGCCGGATAGCATGAATAAGAGCAAAGAGCATGGGTTCTTGGGGTTCAGGAATTTTAAGAAGCCATTCGTTTCTTGGCCAGACAAAGTCCAGGCTTACAAAATTGTTTGATAAACAAGTGAGTTGTCATCATCAGCTATGTTGATTGAAAATATAATAAATAATAAAATAATTCTTTAAACTTTTTAGATGAATTAGCAATCAACAATTTAATAATGTTTCAGCAGTGTTTGCAATGGGGTAGCATTTGATTTCCTTGTTAGTGGGTACCATTTTAGTTGATATGTTTGACATGGGTAAGCCCATAAAGATTAGAGCCCACCATTTAGGGCCCAACACATATCTCAAACGCTGAAGCCCAGTACTGCCGAAGCCCCATGTAGCAATTAGAACCAATGACATCAAGACACATGGCAAGAAAAGGGCAAGCCACATCAGCAGACAAAGATCTGCAAAGTTATTGTCACTGCACATCGCCATTAATGAGGACCCCTCATAGCATTTATTGCGAAAACCCCTCTCCGTCGGGACAACACGCCCTCACCCTGAACAAGGTAAGCTACAGCATAGACTTTCGGCCAAGGTGACAGGTTGGAAGAGACAACGTAATGATTACCAAAGGATATAAACAGACGTCGAAAACATATAGAAGGTTAAGCTTTCCTATCTCTATTTCATCTCTACACTCCACTTCTCTCTCTAACTTGCTCGTCAAAGGGTTCGCTGGGGGACTCCCCATTCCCCGTTGAACTCTTGTGCAGGTTCTCTGGTAGGCTTGATCACCCGGATACCAGCTCGAGAAGCGTGGATCAGTCCGACCCGTTCTGCCTGGAACCCCTTACATCATAACTGCATCATCAGTTGGCGCCGTTTGTGGGAAAGCTTTGCTCCGCACGCCAGTTGTGCTCATTGTCGCCAGAGACCCTGTTCCAATAACCCTTTCCTACTACCTATCAAAGTGTATGGTCACGACTAGATCCATGGCTTCTCACCATAATACTGCCGACCATTAGACCGACCCCCCCAATCCAAACAACCCACCACAATATTTCAGCGAGCTTACCAACAGCATTAACCACATGGCCGAGCAAAATCAAGCCTTGATTAATGCTCTACTCCAAAGAAACCTTCCTGTGCCCCCTCCACCACCTCCAAATATTCCTCCCAACCAAGAACGAGCCCCGAGCCATACTATCCCGCAGCCTAATCCACCCAACTGGGAAGGCTTGCAACCCCCTCCCCCAGGTATAAACCTGCCACCCCGGGGCCCACAACCATCGATCCCGGTACTAATCCTTGAAGGAGATGCCAGCAGCGTCCAGCCCCCGCTGCCCTCCGGTGGTGACAATATCCCTCTCTGGAACGCGAAACTCCGAGCCATGAAGCTCCAACTCCAAGGGGTCGTGCAGAACATACAACATAAACCATCTACCACAGCCAACTCCCCATTTGTTACCTCCATCAGAGACAAACCTCTCCCTCCTAAGTTCAAAATGCCCACCATCGACTCTTTCGACGGTACAACAGACTCAGCCGATCACTTGGAGACCTACAGAACGCTCATGATCCTCCATGCATTCCCTGACGAAACCATGTGTCGGGCTTTCCCCGTAACACTCAAGGGTCGGCTCGCCTTTGGTTTAGTCAACTCCCAGCAGACTCCGTCTCCACTTTTCAACACCTCAACGACTCCTTCCTTAGCCATTTCATAGGGGCCCCAACACCAGCGACGCCCAGCAACCCAACTCCTCAATATCCGTCAGACCGAGGGGGAGTCGCTGCACGGTTTCGTTACCCGCTTCAACACCGAAGCCTTGCAGGTAGCGAAAAACGATGACAAGGTCATCCTTACAGCTTTCATGGCCGGCCTACAGTCATCTGATTTCCTTTTCTCCCTCTCAAAAAATCCCCCGACCTCCATGGCAGTCCTACTGTCCAAAGCCCAAAAATACATGAACGCAGAAGATTCCCTAGTCACTCGCCAAGACCCTATAACAAAAAACCCGACCTCCCAAGAAAAGCGAAATGACTCAGAAGCCAGAACCACCCAGTACAATAACCAAACACTGTATTATACCGACCGACCTCCCCGAGCCGACCGGTCAGCACCAGTCCGACCACCCGGTCGGTTCGAGCGGTACACACCCCTTAATTCCCCTATGGAACAAGTCCTCAATCAGATTCAGCGGGATTACCCCCTCAAATGGCCCCAACCATCACGAACCCCGTCCAATCGGAAAGACCAGTCCAAATATTGCCGTTTTCACCAAGACCACGACCATAATACCGATGACTGTGTTAACCTCAAAGATCAGGTCGAGACCTTAATACGTCAGGGACGTCTTAGCCGGTTCACGGATACCCGTCCTCAGCAGAGGCAAAGGACTGAGCCCATCAGAAACAACCACCGACGCACCCCTTCCCAGCAGCCAACCCAACCTAACCAAGGCCATGATCGCCCTCCACAGCAACCTCGGGCACAAGGTAATCCCGCCCCACCTGTTGGAGAAATCAGAGTTATTTCTGGCGGGCTTGTATGCAGAGGACCATCCCGCTCGGCTCAACGGGCAGAACTCAGGAAAACAAGGCACGGCTCAAACAAAGAAGTCGCCACATTGGATCGACCCTCCAAACCCCAAGCAGTGGACCGAGCCTATCACCTTTACGGACGCCGACCGCACAGGCATCCGTTATCCTTATGATGACCCTCTCGTCATTTCCGCCCTCCTCTCCAATTACAAGGTCAGACGGGTTCTCGTTGACAACAGCAGTTCTTCAGACATCATCTTCCTCAATTGCTTCCGCCAGCTCAAGGCAGACCACAAAGCTGCTCACCTTCCTCGTTGTCGACTGCCCCTCTACTTACAACATCATCCTTAGCCGGTCCGCCCTAAACACCTTCCAAGCCATCACCTCCACCTTCCATCTTTCCGTTAAGTTCCCCACCGATCTGGGGATCGGCACAGTCAGAGGAGAGCAGACTATAGCCAGAGAATGCTATGTTGCCTCACTTAAAGAAGTTAAGCTTAAGGAAACCATGATCATTGAAGGACTTGACGTCAGGGACGAGGATGAGCTGGTCAGGGGGGAACCAGTGGAAGAGCTTATCGAGGTCTCCATCGACCCCACCAACCCGGCAAAAACTGCCAAGATTGGCAACCAACTGTCCCCCCAGGCCAAGACCGACCTCACTGCCCTCCTGATTAAGCACAACAACATGTTTACCTGGACTCACTCCGATATGCCAGGTATTGAT